TCATGATAATATATAATTTATATATATTATCATATAGTTCAAAAAAAGATCTTTGATGTTACTCAGAGAATGAAATGCTATCTATATTCTTGAGTACACAGAATTTTCATAGTTAATATAAAACACAAGAATATATTCAATTCATTCGAACAAGTCACGTTCATCGGAACTTGATTCACTTGGCCCTAGACTATCGCGATTTGCATGCGAATATGATTATATTTAGATGTGAACGAGAGTTGATTAATATTAGTTCTTCAACAGGAAATCAAATTGAAGTTGAAATATTTTTTCTATATGCACTATAACAAGTTAACTAGATTGACAAGTTTATTTAAAATATTTCACAATAATACAACTAGTAAAATTATAAAATGATCAAATTACAATGCATAGTTTTTGAAGCTTCTATTCGTGGGTTTTGCTTTTCTGATTTGTGGCACAAGATGTCTGGGTACATCGTCGTTCTTTTCATGCATGCATTGAAATATCTACTGATGATGATGAACGTTATGCTATATAAAAATAGATGAAGATTTTTTCTTTAAAAGAATTATAATATTCTGTGTATACGTCTGTTCCGTTTTTTTTTGTTATTAATATTATTTTCATCGTCTTCATTATTTGAATTTATTCAATAAAATAATGATCTATGTATGATTAACAAATATTCCAAATTTTTTAGTTAGCGTCATTTTGATACAAATAAAAATGATATTATCGAAAGTATGTCTTATTTACGTGATCATTTGTGCCAAAAAAATGACGAAACGTGCCATGTTACCAACAAAAATAATACATGTAAATCGATCAATTCCCGTTTTTAGATTCTTTCCTTTCAATCTAGGGAATATAGAGAAAAAATACTTGAGTTTATTCACGTATGCCATCGATCAAATAAAAAGTAAACAATACTATTTATACACATACGCTATGTTTAAAAACGTGCTGACTGCAAATTTATATAATTAAGGTTTTTTTATAGTCACAATAGTTGTTTTACAGTTTTTACATCTACTTAAAAAGTCATCTACACATGATTCTTTTAGGTGAGGTTAATTTAGTAAAACTAAAAATATAATCTTTGAACTTTCAGAATGTCTAGAAAATATCATGAATAATAATGACTGCATATATGTGTTTACAATTCAATGATTTTGTATTAATGTTCGCTCTTGAGAGTGTGGGCGTGGATGTGTGGGTGTGGGTGTGCGTATTCTTTTATCACACTGTCACCTATACCCACGCCCACCTAGCGGTATGACAGTTCCATATTAGATTCATTCTTGGGAACTGTTTAATAGTTCTTTTGACAGAAACTAAAGTGGTCTAACAGTTCTTTTGACCAGTTCATCTGGACTTGGAACTGTGAACTGTCCTACCCATCCACCCACATCCTTGGGACCTAAGGAAGCATCGTGGAGAGTTTGATGATCGTAGCTATTACAGAGACTGAATGCATAGCGAACAGACAGACCGACAAAAATTCTTCTTTTTATATGCATATAGATAATTATGTTCACGACAAGCAATGTCATTTGTATTGAGTAAACCCAAACAAAAATCGTAAACAAAAATATTTTGAGTACAGAGCATTGGCAGAGGAATTCTTGAAGGTGTGGATGTGAGTATGCTTATTAATATCCTTTTAACGCTGGCGTATTTTCTTAGCTACATCCATACCGGAAATGATCTTATCCACTTCATATGTATCGAGATTCTCTGTGGATATAGTCATATCACGAAAGATAGTCGAAGCGTATGAAAAAAGTCGTAAAATGGCATGATTGATAAGAAGTGAAGGAAAAGTATAATGAGCGATATCTTTGGGTGGATCATTGGCCGGATAAACAGAACAAGTACTGACGAAGCAGAAATTTGAGTCCAGTTAGACCAAATCTGTATTTCATAGTGAATAGAAACTGGTGTTGTCTAAATAAATATAAAATACTATTAACGGATTATTTCCATTAATAGCATATTTTAAGTATTAGATCTTTCACTCCATCTTGATTGGCTTCATAGGAAAACATCATCCTATCAACGTAGTTTTTCTCCAATTCTTCAAGCAATTCCTTGAATGATACATTCGTGGTATCATCGTTTCATATATTCATGATTTTCATATGCAATTCGATAGACATCAAGATAAGAATCAAATCGACTAAGCCATTGAATCCACTCTGCTTCGGATGTATAGATGATGAAATGATTGTCACTGGAACTCACTCTTACCCACATCTGCTTAGCACACTTTTCTGATAATTTAGTAGTTGTCAATTATCATCTGCTTGAACGTAGTTTCGAATTGAAAATATTTCAAAATACTGCTCACATATTGAATTGCATAATTTATTCATGACTTCCACATATATATATCAAACCTCCAAAGTAGTCATAAACATAATCATTGTTTGAATAACTGTCGTGAAGTTTATTTAAAAGAAAAATTATTTCTAACATTCAAAACAAAAAACATTCAATGTTAGAAGAACGACTTGTTAACTAATGCGCTTTGTTTAACTGTGGTTTTCGATGATTTTTATAGGCATATGGAGAAACTCGTTCTTCATAATGAAGATGTGGTCCAGTTGATCTTCCAGTGTTTCCACTTTTCCCCACCTCTTGTCCTGCTTGAACTTTTTGTCCAGCACTGACCGATTTCTTACTCAAATGTGCATAGAGTTGACGAATTTTATCGGAAGATTCAATAACAATGTGAGTACCATAATCAGCACCCCAGTTGGCGTTTATTACTGTGCCACTGGCTGTTGCGCGAACACTTGTTCCAATTGGACATGCATAATCGTCGCCAGTGTGATAGCCAGCTGCCCAACTACCTGCTTTGCCAAATGGAGTGGTGACCGATTTACCTGGGATGGGTAAATGTGCGAAGACGACTGCACATAATGCAATAAGTGAAACAAAGAACAGTTTAGTTAACATTTTAATTTTGTGTTGAGTAAAAAATGGATACGTGCTTCGTATTTATTCTCGCGATAGAAAGCTGATGAGAAAATTTGAGGATTGCAAATTATAAATGCTATTTTAGTCATAAAATTGTCTTCGTTATCATTGAGAATATTAAGCAGATGTGCATTTTCTTCTGTTTTTAGAAACATGATATTTTTAAAAATTGAAAAAAGTCCAATGTATTATGAGAGTGAATGTGTATGTCAGTAAGGTAATCATTTCGTATTCGCACCCACATAATCAGAATCAATTTTAAATAGATTATATGAGCACGTACGTAAATTTTAAAAATGAATATTTAGATTGCGGAATATATACCATACTTCGTAATTATCAAATTAATTGAAAATTTCAAAGAGAAATTCATTAGACACCACTTCTAAACATGTCACTCGATTTTTATTTTGATTAAATTTGAAAGAATTCTAATTAAAGTTCTCTTTAATAATTTACTTTTTCTTGATGAATAAGTAACTGACATTTTACATAATCTAAAAATAGAACATGATTGTATGATTAATCGGCAGCTTCACTATTCGTTGTTAGATAAAAAAAATAAAACGATAAATGGTTTTTACTTTTCTTTCAAGAATTCTTGAGGGTGTGAGTGTAGGTATTGAAGTCTCTGCTTCTAACTCACAAACACACCCGCGCCCAGCTACACCCACACTATCAAATATAAATTTCTCTATGTTTTCTTATATTACATGTCATAATAGTAAGAACCAGAATATAATTAATAAGAATATAATAATGTAAAATTGATAAAGGAATGAAAAAGAATAAAAAATAATAGTGATGATTATTTTATGATGTATATATAGAGTTATCTATTTTAAATTATAATGAAGACTATAGTAAATTTGAGAAACAAAAAGAAAGAACTTGTAATGATGACGGATATTTATATATATATATAATATTTAATCAATAAATAGATAATTTAACAATTAATATATAAATGAAGAAATGGTCATATATGATAGATACAAATACACACACAACTAGATCTTCAATATTATATCTAGTTTTAGAATTTTACTAAAAAACGACTGGCTTATTTGTTCAATATTTCAAGAGTGGGTGGATGAGTGTGAAGGGGTGAACTTGGATATTAATAAAACACACCCACACCCGACTACCAACTCACACCAAACAGACTCCAGATTCGAGCTCCACGACTCAGAAAACCCTTTGGTGGAGATTTACTGCATATTACGTATTTTTTTCCTTGGATGTTTTCTTGACCCCATTGCAAGTAAACAAACACGCAATCGCAATTTACTTTATATTACCCTCCCTAGAGTCGAGGGAGTAAAGAATCAAAAAAATTTAAAAGCGTAATAAAAGATTCATTACCTTTCATTTTCTTAAGTTTATTTAACAAAAATATCCGACAACGTCTTCGATAAGGCATGAATGAAAACTGTTGGATCCAATGATTCACACTATCAGCAATAAGGTGGTTTCTACCCATATCGAATGTGATACCATTGGAATAATTCAAATGATTTGATTCTTCTTCTTGTTTTCATCTATAGGTTTATTTTAGATATAAGGTGAAAAAACGATACGAAACAAAATACAATAACAAAAGCGATACACTAGGATTTACAACATTTACACAAAACTATACGAATACATTGAAAAAAATGACAAAATGTTATTTAGTTTTGTTCTTCTACACAAGTGCTTGTTATTGTACTTGAGTCTTCACAAGACGAATCGGTCTTGGTTGCATTTCCTCACTAACAGGTACTGTTTGACGATGTAGAATGTTCTTCATTTTCGATCCCAATTGTGGTATTGAACAGAAACACACAAAAGGAAATAATAAATAAATAAAATATGTGAGAAAACCAATCCGTTGCAGTATCGTGATTATGAAAGGTGCCGGAGCTACTATAACCCATAGATAGGCAATTGCAAATGGTAGATTAAATAAAAGATAGAGACATGAAATAGAAACAAGTTGAAAGATCATTAGTCGATATTTTCGCCAATTTATTGATTGTCGAAGACGAGTTTTTGATCGATAAACTCGAAACAAAAGGGCACCATTACATATCAATACACATATCGTTGGAGATAAGATATGAATACTAGTTTGCCACATACCTAGTATTGGATCTCTTGACTGACAACCATAATAACATACGTTATGGACAAAATCCACTTCATTTTCACATGGATAGAAATAGCTGGAATAAATATAAAATATGATTTGATAAATGGTGATAAGAATTGGTGGCATATAATGAAAACAAAAGTTTTTCCATTTTATATTGAATAGATTAAAATGAAAAATGAGAAGATGTCGTTCAAATGATGCCCATGCAACTAAAAGATTCATCATATTAGAAGACACAGTCTCAATAAACGACCTAGTTTTACATAATATAAGAGACCAATGAATAGTTCGTTTTAATCTGTGTGAATCAATTACTGTTGGAATCATAAAAGCGGTGATGATAAAGGAATGACATAATGTAAATAAAATAACATAATTATATGGTGCCGAACGAAGAGCTTTATTAAAAAGAATAAGAATAAACACGATAAGATGCATGAGAATAGATGGAATATCAAAGGTTAATAATAGTATGAATGATATATTTTTGGAAATAAATGCAAATGGGCTCTCTATTTCATCTTGTTCAATAACATTTGTATTTTCAGACATATCCATTTTGCGAGTTTTGCTTGCAACTTAGAAAAATGATATACAGAAGAATGACGGAATGAAAATAATTTTAAATGAATGACAGATAGAGAAAAGCTTTGAAGATATCAATTAGGGGTTGGTCGATGCGTTAATTCATAACGTATGAAAAAATTTGTGATGAAAAAGACAGTGGAAAAAAACATTTTATAAATGGATGAAGTAGGTCATGGCAACAAAAAAATCATGAAAACAAATTCTTTAATCTCAGTTATACTTGTTAAGGATGTAAGAAAAATAATTTGAGTACGTAAAATATTGAAAGTAAAAACAAATAATGCAAATCTAAAGATTAGCATTGATATAATTTTAGTATTCTATTAGAATAGAAATAATACATTTCAATCACAGAATTTAATTTTGAGGATTAAGATGGTTGATATCTCTTTTCTATACCAAAATCATCAATTGAATTTAATATTAAATAAAAAGCAATTTTATTGATTAATCTTTCTTGTATGTTGCTTTTCATATCTGAATATTTTTGCATATTAATTTATTCAAGATTTGTACTATGATTTGAATTTATGAATCACATTGAGGTAAGAAGAAAGATCATTACAGACGTGACGCTCATTAGTAATTGATATTATGTAATTCGTAATAATTAGTATCACAGATTGTGACATACACCATTAATTGGAGCATTAACTGATATGACGATATCCATTTTCTGCTTCACATTTGAATTTCACGGGAATTGCGCTAACAGCTTTTTATCTAAGTAGTGTATTAGTGAAAAAGAACCTATCCATGCATATAATATCAGGTCTCGTAAGCGTACTACTTTTCTGATATAAAAACAAAAGAATCCAGATATAACTATTATTACGAAAAAGTCCTGATTTTTTAAGATAAATTCTTATATCATTGTGTATGCATAATTATATGGCATGTTTTTTATTTTGAAAATTTTTGTAATTGTTTAAAATTTTCAGTTGTTTAAAGTTTTAAAAATAGTGAACTTTGTATTAGCGTTTATTACAACTGTCTGAGCTGTACCAATATCGTCCATTCTCTTTTTTGTTCATACCCGCAACGAATCTTATACTTCTTCGTCTTAATACTTTAGTTGCATTAGTATAGCAACATTGGAACAAGTTATAAAAATCCTGATTTTCGAATATATGTTGCTGCAATCTCTGTATAAGATAACAACACATTCAGTCGAGTTTTCTTCTTATATGGTAGATAATTCAATGACAAACGGTTTATTAATCTCTCGACACTTTCTTTTCCGACTCATTACTAGAAAAGAAGAAGAAGAAGAAGAAGAGAAAATAAAATTTTATTCCATTAGATGATGTTATGAAATATTTTATCTATATAATTTAATAAGAGTGCATTTTTGTCATTTTATAACACACTATTTCGAACTATTATTTTATAAAATATATGTGGCAGTCAGTTACGGAGTTTAATTGAGTTTGGAATGCTATAAATAAAGAAATTATTTCTCTATTTTTAATTTACCAAAAAAAGAGAATTCAGAATAGTTCATGGTTGTAGATTAAGTTTTATGTATGAAAAATATTTTCTTTTGCTAATAACAAAGTAAAGTGTTGCCTATTTGAGTAAATTTAATCAATTTAAGAAGAAAAGAAATTTAGATTAAAGATAAAATTGATGAAAAAAATTGATTTTTTGATTATTTAGGTGTTTCATTCATTATGAACATTGTGTTCTAAGCGAGATATACGCGACATCTTGAGGGTGTGGGTG